GCATTAATTTATAATGAAATTCATTCATTCATTCATTCATTCATTCATTCAATGATGTTATATTATGATTCATATTTTTTTACAATGTTTTTGATTTCAATGATAATATATGTTAGGATATATTGATTTATGATAGAAATTTATTCTATGATGTTTTTAGAATTCATCTGCTTTTTTTTATGAATTATATGAAATTATAAAAACCATGAGAATGTTAAAAAAGAATATGATTTATTATTGATTTATACCAATAACAAGATTGGGTATGTTGCTTCAAAAATTATCTTATTTATCTTGAGAAAGACTTGAACAAATAAATTAATAGTTGAAAGAACAATTCTAAATTAAATTTTCATAACAATACTTACATTGAGATAATGTTAGGATGAGATATAGATGATTTATTTCGGATGAAATAATTTTTTTCTTCGTTGTTGTACACATTTAGTGTATACTATTCTTATTAAGTTAAGTCTATGTTATTTATGTTAGAAGATAGATACCAATTTATATCACAGCCTTATCAGGTGGCTTCGTAACCTGATCCGGAGAGAGATTCTATTCGTCATGGAATGGCGAAAGCAGTGTAGTGCTCGGGAAGGCCTTTAATGTACGTAGGTCCCTGCCGTCATTATGTACGGTGCACCTATGTACATTGCCCTACCAGTCCGGTGTGGTCCACTCTGTGTGTACCCGTTTCATACGGATAGGGCCTCTCCCTGGTCGCGCGCGCGCGCGTACGCGTGAAAATGAGCCTAGAAAAGTTGGGAAGTGGAAAAGAATCAAAACCAATTTATTGAGCAAGTAAACGAAAAAAAAAATTACATTTTCTTTCGAATTTTTTCAAATGTTCCTTTATATTCCAAAAGATGAGGATGAGTTGAAGGTAATTTTTCTTGAGCTATTTCAACTGTTTGTTGAATATTTTTCATTGCCATACTATATTTTCGTGTAGCCAAATATAATTTTGCCATATTATGATATACAACAGCTAAATCAGGATGATTTTTTGATAATTTCTTCTCACGTATTTCTAATCCTTTTTCGAAATATGTCAATGCCGTTGAATAATCTTTCATTTCACGATAAGTTTCACCTAAATTTATATATGTCAATGCACATTCCAGAGGATTACATTGAACATTTTCTTGAATATTTAATGCTTTTTGCTGAAATGCAAGTGCCTCTTCATAATTACCCATTAATCGATGAACATCACCAATATTACTAAATGCAAAAGCTATATCCGGATGATTTTCAGGTAAGGCTTTCTGACGTATTGAGAGACACTTCTCGAAATTATCAAGTGCTTTTGGATAATCTTTCATACTGCGATAAATCTTTCCGAACCAGTTGTATGGAAAAGCCAGATGAGGGTGATTCGCAGGCAGCGTTTCCACAAAGATTTTTTGTGACTTTTTGAAAAAGTCAAGTGCTTTCGAATAGTCACCCATGTTGTTGTACACTTGACCGATGTTGTTGTAGGAAATAGCCAAATTGGGATGATTCGGAGGCAGAGCTTTTTCGTAGATTTTATGTGAGTTTTCGTAAAATTCAAGTGCTTTCGAGTAGTCACCCATGTTGTTATACACGTATCCGATACCGCCGTAAGAAGCAGCCAAATCTGGATCATTCGGAGACAGAGCTTTTTCTCTTATTTTATGTGATTTTTTGTAAAATTCAAGTGCTTTCGAGTAGTCACCCATGTTATTATACACCAAACCGATGTTGCTATATGTAGGAGCCAATGAAGGATGATCTTCTGGTAGAGTTTTTTGTTTAATTTCGAGAGATATTTCATAAAATGAAGCTGCTTCTTTGTATTGTCCTTGATCGTCTTTCGACCATCCGAGCTGGTTATAGATATATGCTTTATCACTGTCGTCGGATGCCTGTTCTAGTAGTGCCGTATATAATTCTTCAGCCTTGCCAAATTGACCAATTTTGAGCAGCAATTTACCCAGTCGATACCATCCAGTGCCGTCGACCTCTTCTCGTATACGATTGGTTAATTGACGAAGTTGTTGGTCATCATCCGACGTAAGTTTGAGTTCCACTTCATAAAGTGGACTTTTTTTATCAATTTTTCGAACTTCACCGATTCGAAAGACAGTGTGCATTGAGAAGAGAATTTCTTCTTCTTGTGCGAAATCACTAACCTCCTTGATGGAGGCAAAAGGAGTCGATGAGACCATGGGATCGATGGTCATTTGAAAGAGAACGCCAACCATTCCTTCTGTTCCTAAGGCTTCGTTGGCGAAAGCTAAGGACACATTTCGATTTTTACTGGTGGATAAAAAATTATTGAATGAAATGAGTCCACCTTTGCTTTTGACGAGTTTTTCGTGATCTACCTTTGATAATCCCTGCCCGCGATAAACAAGAAATGTCTTACCATGATATTGACTAACTTGCTTGGTATGTAAAGTTTCAATTTGTCGATGAACATCACATAGATAAAATCCCATCCGAATGATAATGTCGCCATCCAATGTTCGTAATGCTCGATTGAGCATTTTGTATGTAAAACATTGGCGGGTATACCACCAAATGGCTTTTGATGGACGATAAGTACGTTCAAATTCTTTGATTAATTTGAGTTCCTTGGTATTGCCTTGATATTGTTCTTGGCAAAAAATAACCAAATCTTTTATGGCTTGTTGATCATGTTCCATATCAAGGAGTATTTCCTTGAATATTTGTGTATACATGAAGGAAGGCTCTAGCTGATTAAGATCTTCGCTAGAACCTCCTTCATTGGCACCGATAATACTGACCGTTACTTGATCTTGATTGCATTGTTTGACAGCTAGTGCCAATTTTTTACAGATGTGCTTGATCGATGTATGCACACCTTTAATTTTGGGCCAATTTTTAGCCCATTCTTGGTGACGTTGCTTGTTGCCACAAAAGATGTATATGGCATCCAGTTTTGGCATGCCATGAATTTCTGGTACCAGGTGTTGACCTAATGCACCTGAGGAGATGACAAATGATGTCTCCTCATTGTTTTTCTGGAGTTCTTCAATACATTGTTCGGCAGTGGTGCATGGGTTCACTTCATTAACAACACCGCGTAATTGCGCGAGTGTATTTTGGCAATCTTCATTTGCCATATCGATATTTCCATCGACCCAGATAACCAAATAATTTTCAGCCATTCGTTGTCTTCGGCGTTCACTCATTTTTGATGCCATTTTTTGGCGTTTGATTGACAGTTGAGTATTTTCAATGATAGATTGTTGTTTGGACAGAGACTACCTTTTCTATTTATATATTCGATGTCGTCTATTCTTTTTCTAGATTTTTCTACGACGTCAAATGTAGATGTGTTATTTTTTTCGTTGACACTCAAGGACAAATTCCACCAAGTTGCAATTGAAAATATGGTTGTCAACAACAAATGAAAGAGAAACAATTTAAAAACATCATTTATTCCATTGTTATTCTTTCCAACTTTCGTTTGTTTTTCGTCTACATAAGAATCACTTGAAAACCAATGTGTTGGATACCATGTCGCATTGATTGTTTACTTTTTCACCGATTCTTTTTAAAGGAAAAAGACTTTTCTCATTCTGTCAAGAACGAAAAAAAAAACAAAAACGGCATCATCTGCTTTATTTTTTTCATAATGCATATGATTGACACGCTGATAATGTGAAAAAAATAACAAGAAAAGTAAATTCAATATTGATTGGAGCAATAGTTAAACAACCATTTTTATCCTTGTCAAATACAATAAATTTAGTCATATTCTGTCCTAAATAGTTCTAATTCAAATTCGAATCTATATTCCGAATAAAATTAGTCATTGTTTAGCAGCATTAGTCGGATTCCATGAGTTCTAAACTCCTGGAACACTCAAAAGTGCAGTTCCACTCACGAAACTCTCGGAATTCACGAAACCCAAGACATTTTCAGAAAGATATAGGTGTAGGTTTTGGTTCTTTCGGCATCCACAGCCACACTCATATTCGAGACAGCACTGCAATTGTGTACAATTTGTGGGTAAACAAACTATGATGTTGTCAATTTTGTTTGAAACATTAGGATTGATCTGCTACCTAAATTTCAACAGGTTATTGAATTCTGGACACATCAAGACACATTCTTCAATGAGGTAAATGACGTTCTGAGAGTGTGCAAGTGAGACTAGAAGAATGAATGTATCATCATTCACACTCTTGCTAAAATGATTTTTGATGTATCTTATATTCATTTGGAATATGTGTAAAATAAAAAGAAACTTTGCTTTCTTCTGATATTCTAACTGCTAATCTTTCATTAATCTTTATATGATTCATCAAGAAATAATATTCAAATTGTGTTTGTTCACAATTGAGATTCACACAATTTTAGCGTGCATCACAATGACAACGAGAAAACGTCTATTAGGAGAGTCATCTATGTTTGCATACAGCTAACAAATAATGAATATTATTGCAGTTATTTTTTTAACTAAAATCGACAGTAATATTGAAGATATAAGTAATAAAAACACTATGATTGTTGTGCATGTCACATGTCTTTGCACAAACACAGAACTTTGTTCCGCGAATAGAAACAAAATTGGCCGTAACATTGATTTCATGATTCTATTAGGTTTCTTCTGAAAATGTAACTATGACAAACAAGAAAGATCAAC